TGGGCTTGTGATCGAGGGGTGGATCTAACCATAGGCACCTATTGCATAGGTCACCCATGAATGTGAAACATGTGCTGCAATCAAGCAAGCCAGGCGGTTAAAGCCTCTGTGGTATGGAAGATGACAGCTAAAATATGGGGAGGCCTCTCAAATTGACTATATTACACTCCCACAAACGTGCCAAGGCAAACACCATGTGGCACAATGGTGGAAGCAACCACCGGTTGTCTGGAAACATATCCCGTGCCCCATGCCACCACCCGGACGCTATCCTGGGCCTTGAAAAGCAAGTTTTGTGGTGGCACAGTACTCCAGAAAGAATCAAGTCAGACAACAGGACACATTTCTGAAACAATCTCATAGGCACTTGGGCCAAAGAACACGTTATTGAATAGATATACCACATTACCTATCATGCACCAGCCCCAAGGAAAACTGAGCAGTACAATGGCTTGTTAAAGATCACACTAACAATAATGGGTGATGGAACCTTTAAAAATCGGGATAAACATTTGACACAAGCCACCTGGACAGTTATCACCAGGGGACCCATCAATCAAGCTTGCCCTGCTCAGTCATACCCTCTACATACTGTAGAAGGGGATGAAGTCCCTGTGGTGCATGGAAAGAGTATGTTAGAGAAAAATGTCTGGGTTTTTCCTGCTTTGGGCAAAGTCAAACCCATTCGTGCGATTGCTTTTGCACAAGGGCATGGACATACTTGGTGGGTAATGTTGAAGGATGGTGAAGTCCAATGTGTACCTCAAGGGGATTTGATTCGAGGTGAGAATGCTCAGTTTTGAACTGTATGATGTTAAGTTGTACATAACACTAAGAGTATTCAGTAAGTGTCTTTCAGGTTAACACCGTGGTGATGACAACTGCAGCTAGCTTCAACAAGTGGCGCCCAGTAACCTCCTTGATGTTGATACCTTTAACTCACAACCCATGGGCACAAACCATGCTGAATCTCACACCGTTTCTCCTTCTGTGAGAGACTGCTATGATAGATGGAAACCCCCAATCATCAACTAATGTCTGTATATATGTATAATAAGTATATATAATTAATTGGAGTTCGGAAAAAACAGTAGTAAACCGAGTAAGACATGAATGGTATGGCATAAGAGGTGGAATGTCCTGGTTTGACTGAAACAGGACCATTTCTCCCTTCAGTAGATTTTTTTTTTTTCCTTCAGTTGAGTTTTCTTAGTAACTGCACTTTCTGAAGCTGACTACAGGTTTCAGGCAGTGCCTGCTTTCAGAGTTGATGGTGGTTAATGTCTGCAGTTGCTGTTGGGGCAGGAGCGGGATTGTTATGCAGAAAGGTGCATGTGTCTGTGCTTGTTCCCTGTAGGCTCTCTTGGGCTCCGCTGGGCTCCTCATGGGGTCGCACCCCCAGGAAGCTGCAGAGGGGACAGGTGACCAAAGACTGACCAATGCAGTATTCCATCCCACCCATGTGAATACTCGGTATAAAGCTCAGGGATCACGGGGGTCAGCGCCCTCTTTCCTTCATGGTCGGCATCCTGGTGGGAGTCTGCTCACTCTCCTGCCCTCTGACCCTGATCCATGCAACCCTGAATCCAGTTCCTGTCTCTTGTGCAGTCCAGTCCAGGACATCTGGATGCCTGCCCTGCTGCATGAGCACTGCAAGCTGCCATGGTGCAGCACATGGTCCCACAGTCATCATCAGGAAGATCAGTATGGGTTTTGTACATTTCTATTTCTATTATTAGTAGTATTAGTTTTAATATTATTTATACTCTTTTTCATTGGTACCGTTTTATTAAAGTTTGTTTTAACTTTCCAACCCATAAGTCTCTCTCCCTTTTCTCCTCTCCTTCCCCTTCTGGGAAAGGACAGGGTTAACAGAGAGCAATCTGCCATCCACTTTGAACACCAGCCCAGCCTTAAACAGTGACAACATGCAATGAATGTTTCAAAATTATTAAGTCCTACAAATAAAGGAAAAAAGATTCTTTAAATAGTTCTATAAAAGCTGTCAGGTGATATCCAAGAGCACCACAAATTAGTCATTCTTCCCTCTTTGGATTTGTTTTTTATCCCATAGTACGGAATGAGAAGTTAAATGGAAATCTCTAACCTTTCAGAATCAGAACTGAAACCATCTCTGATTTCGAAACAAGTTAAATCTCACAGTTCTGGTCCTAAATTTTCTACATTGTTAATACATAGACCAATACGTAGAAGACTACCTGACTTGATTTTGTCCTGATCAAGTTAAGTTACTATTCTTGATAGCAAATATTTAGTTGCTGTTCCAGCAGTCTTTTTGTCAACATTCTTCCCTCAACCCCTAAATTATATTCAGACTAAAAGTTGTCTGAATTTTGCAAAACCTTGTTTTCACAACAAAATCTTTCCAATGTTGCTTCCAACCTGAGATGCAATTCAAGAAGCGTGCTCTTCAAAGAGACTAACTGGTATATAAAGAAGCAAGCCAAAGCTGGGTAGAAAACTATGCAAAAATGTTCACCTCTGATTTTAAGTAAACGCAAATTATGTCACAGTCAACAAGCAGCCTGTCAAAGTCTGAAACTACTGGGTGTAATAAATTTATGACCTAGTAGAGGTGATGGATGAACACCAGTTGTCACAGCAGCTTCTATGTTTAACTGCAGAGAATGCCTCCGAGACACAGGCCTGATTTATAAAGTACATTTTGGTCATCTTAAAATTAAATCACAGTCACCTGTATGAATTGAAAGTAAATTTATAAAGAGGTTGTACATGACTGGACACAGGTAATAACTTACATTCCAGGCAATACCTTACATTCCAAGTAGTATAGGAAGCAAAATAACCCCAGTCCTTTCAATAGCATTTTGACTGTTTATTAACTAGATTAAGGGATGGTCATATGATCACAAACAACTGCTATGGATTGATTTAAGTACTTACCAATTACAGGGATACAGGACCTATCTGTTAGCCCATGAAATGGACCACCTTATTGCTTTCTAGTCTCTACCAATTTACCATTTTGCAGTGGAATAGACATATACATCTAGATGAAATGCCGCACACCTGACTTGATTTGTATGATTTTCATCATAAGTGGTATTCCTGTTAAACACAGTCTAACTAAACTTCAGAGAAATTCTGACCTAGGAATGATGCTTGGAGCTTGGGGACTTCATAAACTTTATAAATTGTATCACTCGTATTAAAGTTGCTGTAAAGTTTACACATTAACTTCAAAAAGAAAGTTTCACAAAGAAAATAAAGAGTTGTTTAACCACTTTAAGAGCACGTTACATTACATTTTGCCTCGACTATGTCAGACCCTTTAGATCTTTCACCTGATATTTCCAAGCTTAGTGCTCACAGGATTTGTTTGTATTTCAGATATAGAGAAGATCTCATTTACCTTGAAGAGTGTGGCTTTTTCAGGGATTATCCCTTTAATTTTCACCTGAGGTTCCAGAGGAAGTGGAATAAGCTCCATATCTGCTAAATTCATCTTTTCATTATCTGCTAACAACGCCTGAAGCCTCTCATTCTGAAAGAAGAATGAAAATTTGTTTTAAAAAAAAACAAACAAACAAACAACTCACATACTAAGTATATATGAACAGTTAAAAAGTCTTTTAACAAAGGACATAATAAATCTCCAATTTATTCAATTCTTTACTCTTTAAAAAAAAAAATCAAAATTTCACTCTTAAAATCCAGTGAAATAAAAATTCTCTATTTACAGTAATCTGAACAAGGAAGCAGATATTCCACCTAGTCTGAGTATAGTCAAGCAATTTTGTAACTGTCAGATATCATAGTCTTACAAAAAATTATTTCTAAATTGCCTGCACAAGTAGCAGGATGATTTGTTTTCCATACTAGTATCAAATGTTAACTCTGTTTCAGAAACCCGATTCAAGTCTTCACCTCTGATCCTTTAAACCCCTGAACTCAAGGAGACCCCCTGTCACCAATGAACCAAACTGCCAACAGCTTGCACAGATCTGATTTCAGGGCTTGCTCTATGTTCCTACATCTGTAATTACCAGAAACACAATACTAGTCAATTTTTGAGTACTTTACACTTGGTGCGCTACATAATAAAGGTTGAATACACATAAGTCTCTAGTTTTTTTCCCCTGCTAAATATAACAGGCATAAACACACAGCAAGGTAGTCCACTACTGTTCAGAATAATTCTAGTGGTTAATTGCTGCTAGCTAGATTCTAATGCAAAAATCAAAGTTATGTTTCTCTTACTTTTACAGAAATATCCTAGCAGTTATAAAAGAATATATGACAGAACACTACCAGTGTATTGCACAAACAGGAAATACATTCTTATGAACTGAAAAGCCCTCCTCCTCTTTTAGTGATTACACCTTTATTACCAATACTTAGAATATTCACAAAATTTCATAAAAATGACACCACACTTCAGTGTTTAATTTTCCTGCACAAATATACCCCATAGATTGAAAGAAAGACGGTGACAAAAATCATTACACCGAAAAATGCATGTTTAAAAATACTGATGTGTGCCAGAGGAAAAGAAAATATATAGAATAGAAACCCCTTCGGTGTTCCTGCTTCCTCCCCATACCCGTCTGTCAAGTTCACTTAAAATATTTTAACTAAGAAGGACAAAGCTTCCTAAAATGCACCTATGATAGAAAACCTTTTCCTCAAGACACAATAGAAGGCAAAGTTCTGCTAAACACACAACTTACAAAAGAACAGTTTTGCTGCTCTCAAAACAAATAAAAGTTTGCTGCTAGTCAAATTTCATTATCTATCTTGGCATAATTCTCACACCACAATAACATTTGCTACCTTCCCAAGTCCCCCACAACTTGTCCACTGTTATAATTAACAATTATTCAATTATTCTTGTATCTTCCTTTTGCCAAAATCTCCCAAGATATTTCTGGAGGCCCTCTTCTGTTTTTTATCTACAATATTTCAGAACACTTTGCAACTTTGACCCATCTAAACTTCTCCAAAGTTTGTTTAAAGTTAGCTAACATTATTACAGGACAGATGAACATCTGTTACAAATCTTAGTGCTAAAAGTTTTTAGTGAAAAGCTAGCATTCTTATTGTCAAATTCGAGCCAGAGATAAGTTTTCCAATTCCTCAGTTACCTTTTTCTTACGATTCCCACTTTCACGCTGCACTGCTTTCATTACATGAACCAGCCGATCTACAAATGTCTGCTGGGCTGCCAACAACGAACGCATAACTCTGACAGACTTATCACCCTAAGTGAATTAAAAGAAACAAAATTAGTTCTTTGTTCTGTAATTATTTTATCTAGAAATTATTCCTTTATTCTTAGACCTTTGGACTTTTAAGAGGTAAGTGAATAACAATCAATTTCCTGTCAATTTGAAAGGTATTTTCTGTAATACACAACCAGAATCACCACAGCTGGCAATCAATTATCTGACCTACCAGTGCACTTCAATTTGCATCAACAATTTCAGTGGTGAACAGTCATGCATAACAAACCTATTCACACAGCCAAAATAAGTTAGTAAGGATAAGCACGTGTAATACTCTTATGAAACTAAGAGTCAGATTTGAGTAATGTCCCTAAAACCAGAATTAATATGAAGTGCAAGACACATGAAAATCGGGAAACATTGCACATTTGCTATAAATTTCAGTTTGCAACTCACAAAAGCTTTTTTTCAGTTTTGCTTTTTTAACCTGCTGCTCCAGCGCCCTCTGCTGCTGATATACAGAACAACATCGTTTGTGAATTCAACAGATAGGTCTGTCTCAATTTGCACTGCAAGGACAAGCGTTTCCAATAAAGAAATAATAAATCAAATACACTGACTACACAAGACACAATATTTTAGGTCTAGCATGTTATTAACAGGAACAAGCAATAAAACAGAGGAAATATGTTCTTTTCCTTTTAAGTAGTTCCTTTGGTTTACCACAAACTCAAAACTTCACGCCAAAGCGAAAGTTTTTTTGAAGTTTCAACACATATGACATAAAAAATGTCGTCCTCCTAGACCTCTGTGCCTTTTTAAAGAATGACTATCCCAAACTACTATGTATTTCCTTACACAGAGCCATTACCTTCAGCAAAGCCTGACTAAATCTTCTCATCACATTTAGGTACATTTCATGAGTCTTTGGGTCCCTCTGCTGAGTGTCTTGGTCTTCACACTCCACTATTACATACCTGCAGCATAAAACCAACCCAAGTTATGCTGTGCTCTGGTGCTACACAATTTGAATTAAATACAGCAGCCCTATACTATAGGCCTGGAATTAAAGATAAAGTTGACCTTTGAATGAGATCTCTATCTCAACCAGCAAGTGAACTCTTCAAAAATTGCACAGTCACAGATTCCCACTTGCATCAGCAGTGGCTATCAAAGTTTCTGGGGTCTTTCACTTACAGTGAAGCGGCATCACTGAAATGGGACAAGTCAGAAGTCCAAATCATTTGAACACTCCAATCCAACAGTACACATGGGAGGAGTAGGCATTTCCCTGTGCTACTACCCTCTACATAACGTAGTGGCTGCAAACTTGCTATTCAAGTACACTTGCAAAAAAAGAATCTCACCCCACCTGTTCCCTATTTTAGCATTAGCAACAGTAGAAGAGACAGTATTGGTCCTGAAGTAGCTCTGCAAAGTCTACATTCCAAAATAAGTTTCCATGTCTAAAATTATGATTCAGGACCAAAACCGAAACAGTATAATCTGGGACAGGTATACTGAAAATTTATTTTGATATGTTAAGCAGGTGTTTGGAATGCTTTTGTGCTTATTTCTATTCACAGCACTGACAAGCAAAAAGTAGCTATGCACCGAAGTTGTTCTTTCTGTTGATCAATGTATCTCCTAGTACTACCCAGTAAAAACATAACCCCACTATTAAAAAAAGGAAAAAATTAGCAAGCCACTCTATTTTCAAACACTGCATTTGGATTCAAAAATGACTCTCCACATTCAACAAACACGCTTGGACTTCATGCTGACAGCTAGAATTACTCATTCCTTATGCACTTGTGCAGAACCTCTTTGCAACTGAAAGACTAGGGCACAAGATTAGAGGACTGTCCCTTGCAGCTGATCAGGTTTGACTAGTCTTATTTATAAATAAACAATATTACATATATTAAAATAAGGCATACGTAACTTACTCCATGAGTATTATCTCAATGAAATCTGTAACTAAAGATCACTTCTTGGACTTAGTTAATACATTGTTCTACCCCGTTCCCTCACTAAAGTGACAAAATTAGGTTGCAGTCATATGTGTACAAAAGTAAGTCCATATTTACGAAGTTTGTGCACCAAAACTTCAAGGGAAACAGGAAGTAATGAATTGAAACATGCCATTTTCACCTTCATTTGTTAAAAGCCCCAGACACTTTCTCAAAGCTATCTTCAAACAAAAAGTGAAAGTAAGGCTTCATACTTGGCTAGGTGTCTCATACCTCCAAAGAAGAGACAGAAAAAAGTAGTAGCACTGACTTCTGTAGCCACTGTTAAAGGATAGGATAGCTTTACAATGACAACTGAACAAGCAGGAGGTTTGATTTTCATGGGTCATTGTACTTTTCCCATTGATTCTTTTAGGTGCACGCTGTGTCTGGATAGTAGAAACAAGCAATTGATCAGCAGTCAAGAGATTTATGGCTATGTCAGCTCGAACAGTGGCTGCAACTTCTGTATTTTGTCACTGAGAAATTGAGATGTCTGGAAAGAAAAAGAAGATATTGACTGGGTTTTTGGTTTGGTGGGGGGCTTATTTTGTTGGTTGGGTTTTGTTTGTTTGTTGGGTCTTGGTTTTTTTTTGGGGGGGGAGGGGGGTTTGTTTTTTTTGTGAGTTTTTGGGGTTTTTTTTGTTTTTGTGGTTTTGGTGTTTTTGTTTTTTTTTTTTTAAGTCCAAAATTTCAGAGTTCTGGATGTTTCCACTTTCTGAAGACTAAAGGTCTGAGATATTGCCAAAATGTAAGTGCATAGTTTCTATCAATGTGATAGAAATAAGCTTACCTTAATGAAGAATATTTGATTAGGCCAAGTATTTGGCTTCTACTCACATCAATTCTGCCTGCAATTATTTTAACCATTTAAATTTAATAGTACTTTTCCGAAGCCAAACATTATCTTTGGCCACACAGAAGTATGTACAATCAGGAACCATAATTAATCACGCACTTAAATAACTTAAATTCAAGCTATCGAAAAAATAATGAAATAATAAAAAGACACTTATAAATGGAATTAATCTCAGGATAGGTTAGGATTCTTTTAAGAATTTTATAAGAACATTTTGGTAGGTTTAAGTCACATATCACACCCTGTTCCCGATTCATGACTTATCTACAGTTAATATCAATCACATATTAACATATGATCATGTGTATTAGTATTTCTAATTATTAGATACATCTTTAAAGGATACAAGTGAGAATCATTTGACTTTAGCTATGTAAAAGGCACTTAACTTCGCTATTTTAAAATACATGTGTACATACAAGTAAATAGTTGTACGTGTTGTGCACATGCGCAAATATGTATGTACATTAATAGACGTTCACATCACATTTTCAGAGTACAGCTCTATTCATCTCAGCTCTCTTCAAAGGAGATAATTGCTATCTGCAAATACTTACTCAGAAGGCATGCAGATGACTAGTTTAGCCATCTAATTTAATTCTTAAACCTCTGAAGTGAGACAAGATCCTTGGCTAAGTAATGTTACCTCTCCACTGCCTAGATGAACTATTCAGAACTAAAGTTTCCCCCTAAGAAAGCACACAACTGCAATGACATTTTGTTTGTGCTCATAACATAACTACAAATGGAATCTAAAAAAATAATTAGATTAGCACAAAATAATTACTGCTTTATAAACCTTCAGAAAGTACACTCTTGATTAATACTGAAGTGCATAACTTAAATATTCTAGCTAACACTGTCAAAAACTATAAACACAAATCAAACAGAAAAGCAGAGCACAGGACAAACTTTATCTCCTCCCCACCACTATAAAAGATTTTAATGACAATTTATAAACTATAGCTGGGCTTTTTTTTAACACTGTACTGAATGCCCTACAAATCACCTTCTTTTGTGTAACAGTAAAACATATTTGTGCATTTTAAAAACCTGCGCCCTCCTTTTACCAATTACTCTGTTCAAATGCCTATTGTTTTAAATTGACTACTTCATCCTGAGAGAAACCTGAGATTCTCAAGACAGGCCATTTTTTGCTGTGCATCCTTCTGGGCATTAGAACTTTGATTTCAATTGGGCATTGATACAGTATGAATAAATAGTTTCTAACATACCAGTACAAGTAGTTTGCCAACGTGGAATTTTTGCATGCTCGTGATATCAAGAAAGTGCAAAGGTCTTGCTGAAAGGGATTAAGAAAGGCAAAATTAAGTTCTAATGAAGTCTAAGCACTTAAAGAGAGAAAAAAGTTAAGGAAAAACCCCAACTAAATGTAGGGAGTTTTGAGAGATACACTCCCTTCTAAAATCTGAATCCAATCCAACCTAATATTTAAATCATATTAGTTTTAACATTACTTCAAATCCAGTAACAACACTGCAAGTAAAAAAAGGTCTGCTACTACAGTAATATATTTAGCAACACGTCAAAAGTACATGATGTTCTTCAACAATAAACTTTTAATGTAAATTTTCTATTTACAGTATATTACACTTTCCTCCTATCCCCTGCTGTAAGATTCAAGCTTAAAAGGGATTTACTACCATGTTTCGCATTCAGAAGATCTAAACTCTTTAAGATGTTCTACATTTTAACATAAAGTAAAAAATGTGCAGAGGATACACAGCATTTAGTTGGAATATTAAACCTTGAAAAAGCAGCTAACAAGAAATCTGTGTATCTTTAATGATATGCTCAATTCGAGCATATTTTCTATGCAGCACTGAGACTCAAAAAGGAAGATTTGCAACATGTAATGGATCTTTAGTTCAAAGACCAATTAACTGCACATTAGATCAAAGTCAGATTCCCTCAAACTGTCTTTACCTTCTATCTGTCCCTCCCTCCAGTCTCATTCTTATTCTTCTTCTACTTGTGGTATAAATGAAGTATAATCCTTGGCAGATGTAAATCAACAGTGTCTCATTTAGGTTCAAAAAACTGACACCTATAGCAAAGAATATGGCTACAGGAAGAACAGACTACAGAGATTAAAACTGTTTTCCATTAAAAAATCTGCCTTAAAACACCTCAAACACAAGCAATTGTCAGTATCTACTCAGCATGTGACAGCCTTCACAGTGATTTTCTCCTTTAAAGGACAATACTTTAATTTTATGAAGAACTCAATGCCCAGTCTGCCAATTTGGGATAGTGTGACTGTGTACATAAACAGATGGTCTGTAAAAATACCATTCAGTTCAGCTGTTGCTATTTTCTTAGCATTTAGTTTACTTTTATACTCTTTGAGCATTTTAAGTATTCAGCAAGATACAGTAGAAAGATTCAAATATTCACAAACAAAAACTAAAGTCAGTACTAGGGTCACCAAAAAAAGTGTCAAAAATAAAAGGTAAAGCGTTTGACTTACATCAAGGTTTTCATTATCTGCAAGCTCCTTTGTCTTAGAAGTAAGAGGTGGTGAGGAAACAGGTGGAACAGGACTCATGATCTGGGAGCTACATAAAGGAAAGCATGTAACTGGCATGATTCGAAGTTCTTGCTTGGGAGGCAGGGGGTATGCATGGAAATAGCAATGCATTTCACTTCCACAGCATAATAAAATCAGAAAAACCAGAAGAGAAGTATCTTTGAAGATAGTATCTCAACCCTGTTTCAGAACAAACCGCATGAACAGCAACTTTGACAGCTGCAGTTCCTGAAAGCAGCAAAAATCTGTGCCTGGATAGCTATACAGTTTATGGCTGTGAAGGACATTTACTTACATCAAACTTAGCATTTTGTTTCATCTTCCATAAAAAATAAGCGGACATAGATGGGAATTTAGCAAATCCACATTTTCAGGATAAGCTTTTTTTAAACGTTCTTAAGATGAAATTGCTAATACACAATACCTGCAAGCACTCGTCTCTGGAATCCAATTATACATAACAGAGCAGACAAACCCAGTGGTTGCGAGGTAAAATTATCAGACACTAAATTTACCTGAAAGGAAGTAATCAAACAGCTCTACTAATGTCTAAGTGTCATTGCAGCCTTAAAATACACCATACATCCCAGGACACCCACTCTACAGCTTAGCAGTAAGATCAATGCAAAGCAGTATACTTGTAACACAAAAAGTATACTCTAGTGATACAGAGATTAGACATTGAAATTTAAGACTAAAAATCCTGGAAACTTGTATTAAATATCCACAGGAGACTTCAGTTAACCAAGTTTGTCTGTACCTTGCTTAACACTACATTAATTAGATATTTCAGCCTTTCTTTCTGATTCCTGCAAGAATAAAAAGTGTTCTTCCTCAGCTCCTTTACATTCGCAGGACCCTCCCTACACCTTCTTTTGCAGGAGCAGGAAGAAATTTATTTCCGTTTCAGGCTGATCAGACTTTTAGATTCACATTCTTTGATGAAAGTGCGAAGTAAAGCCTCATACAACTTCATTGAAGACATCCTAACTTCTGTAAGGACAGGAGAAAATAGTGCCAGTGTTTTTCCTGTTCTCCAGAAGCTGTCTTCCTTTCGTGCAGTAAAGTCAAAGACCACAACTTCAAGATCACAGATAGTTTACAGAGCAAACATTCTTACTTAGGAAATACATTCTGTGAAAGCTCTGAGGTTAGTTTTGTTTCGGTTTTTGGGGTTTTTTTTTTTTTTACATCATCGCTTAAGATTATAAAATAGGATGTTGAATATGCAATGGTCCCTAAAGAGGAGAAAGAAATTTGAGGGCTTACAATGTTACTGCTTTCTGCTTTTCTACTGGAAATCTAAGCTTCATAGAATCATATAATTGTTTAGGTTGGAAAAGACCTTTAAGATCATTGAGTCCCACCGTTAAGATAGCACTGCCAAGTCCAGCATTAAGCCATGTCTCTACGTGCCACACCTACACGTCTTTTAAATACCTCCAGGGATGGTGACTCCACCACCTCCCTGGGCAGCCCATTCCAATGGTTAACAACCCTTTTGGTGAAGAAATTTTTCCTAATATCTAATCTAAACCTCCCTTGGTGCAACTTGAGGTCATTTCCTCTTGTCCTACTGCGTGTTACTTGGGAGAAGAGACCGACCTCCACCTCACTACAACCTCCTTTCAGGTAGTTGCAGAGGACGATCAGGTCTCCCCTCAGCCTCCTCTTCTCCAGGTTAAACCCCAGCTCCCTCAGCGGGTCTTGATCAGACTTGTGCTCCAGGTCCTTCACCAGCTTTGCTGCTCTCCTTTGGACACGCTTCAGCACCTCAAGGTCTTTCTTGTAGTGCAGGGCCCAAAACTGAACACTGCACTCGAGGTGCAGCCTCAGCAATGCTGAGTACAGGAGGATAATCTCCTTACCTGTCTATTTCTGCACCATTAGTTCCAGATGTTGTCACACTCTCTGACATTGAACCTTGACTGTCCCTCTTGCTAGGTTCCAGTCCATTCTTTATGTCATCGAAGTTTTCATATTTCAATGCCTGGACTAACTGTAGCAGGTACATCAGCAAATCCTCATGGAAGAAAAAAAAAGAAAATTAATTGAGGAGGTCTGTCAAACTCAACTAGGACTCCATACGTTTTCGAAATTCTACTTTAAAGAAAAACTTAGTCAGGATTTAATGACCTATAAAGAAATAAAAATTGGGGTCTCCCTAGCAAGCAATATACAACAGAAAAACTGGTCTATGATGAAGTTTGATTACCAAAAGACACTGAAGTATCTCACTACTAATTTTTTGTAACTCAAAGGCAGTAACTGGTAATTAAGTAAATATTTAAGGGCAATTACTACTTTACAGTTCTCTTTAGTTAAGCTGCCCTACTTGCTTCCAGTATCCACAAAATAAACCTTTTAGTTTGTGGCTCCCAAGAAGAAAATTCAGGTATAAAATCTGGACTATGGCACCAGGAATGCAGAATCTCTCCTCTCTTCTGTGCTTTTTTTTTTTTTTTGATCCCTTGTGTAGCTGGAGATCCAAACAAACCACATACTTGATCTATTTTAGATTGAAGAATAGAATTTCAATTACTTGGTGTTTATAATGAATTTGTTCCCTCTTACTATTCAACTTGCTTTGTTCAGTTCCCTTCATATGTTTCATAAAAGGTACACTTTTAAAGTCAAAGCAGTATAATTTTGGCTACTGAACTAGGCTTGCAAAAATGTGATATATTTATGCTCCCTATTTTAAACTCTATTGATTGCCAAGGATTCAAGAGTTACAGTAATACATTCAAAGTATATTTTTTTTACTGTCAAAAGAAAATATATAATTAAAATTTAGCAGATTAGCATCCATTAAGTGGGCTCTACTCACAAATCACAGCTCATCATATTCTAATCAGTATACCATTACAAACATCTTATTTCCACAGATGTTCTTCTACTCACTTTCTTTAGCAAGAACATGACAATATACTGCTTCAATTTACCAGGTGGATTTGTTGGAAATCTTTTAGTAAACTATTTAAGTTCAGAGCACTTCTATGCTGGTTAATACTCAAAATTTGTCACCCGTTTCTGGGGAAAACACATGGCTGTTTCACCTTGTTTGACAAAATCAGGTATCACTGGCTGTTCACACTAAGACAATTATCAATGAGGGCCACTTAATAACATGAGGACTTTGCTCCATAAATAGCTTATAGTAAGGAGCATCACAGTGATTATTTTTTTCAAACATTTCAAGTACTCAATGAGACTAAAAATCCTGAGAGCAGCTGACTTTCACATGTACCCACAGACCAATGAATACCTCATCATCAGCCTGCTGAAGTCGAGCAACAGCATAGCGCCGAACTGTTGGGTTGGTGAAATGAGATGACAACAGTTCTAGAGAATCTTCCACATCCATGGGCTTCCACTTGCCTAGTAGCTCCAGTGCTTGCTTTGCTTCTTGTGGTAGGTCCCAGTTGACACATTTTAAGAACTTTGTCAAGGCCTAAATAGAAAGAGATTGGACAATTCATCAGTGAAAAGCCAGGCTAAACAAATGATTTCAGAAATTAATGTTTCAAGTTAAGGTAAAATTAGATTCAGACTATATGTAATGTAATGTAATGTAACGACTTAAGTAATAAGCTTAGACCTGAGGAACCTTAGTGATGTAACTGATAATACAGTATTGGATTTTTTTAATATGTCCCAAAAAACCTGCAGCTGAGTTACTTTCTAAGTAAAACATAAAGTCTGTCACTAATGCTCTACCACAATTACCACTACATAAAAAACTCCCCCTATTGGGGGATTATTTAGTTATTTAATTTACTTTGGGCTTTTGGTGTGCTGTTACTTATCCTGGTAATGTTAACCCTTGTCTAAAAGGAATGAAGAAGCTCCTCTTTCATAATTTTTCTTTGCTGAAGACAAAATTGGCACAACTGGTATTTTAGGCTGACAGTCAGTGTTTGTAGAAAGACTGCTGTAATAATAGCTAGTCCACATGATTTAAGAGGGAAAGTATAATCACTAATTTTTAAATCAGTAACATTGTAGAAAAAGTTAAAATAATGTTAACTAGCTTCTAAGACACTGAAACTGTATCTCTGCAAGGACAAGACATTGTAGAATGGGTGCTAGATGAAGAATCTCTTGCATTAATAAGTCTTCTCAAACAATTCAACTTACCTTCTCCTGATTAGTAAGGTAATATCTGAATTTCCAAACTAGATCCTGCTCCTCGTACGTTAGCTGCTTTGTCGGTGGGTAACTCACTATGATCTATTAGATATATAGTCAGAACATGAGTTTAAAAGATGAACAGACATAATCAACAAGTTAACAGACTACACTGTGACAAAGCACAACACTGACAACACACAAAAATGGCTAGGAAACAAAAAAAGCTTTCCAACACGACAAAGTTCTCATGCTATCATGGTGATGCCCCTCAGTTATGTGGTTGGTTGAGCTGGTAGTGTAGGCAAACACACGCAACTACTTTAAGACTACCATTACACCTAAATGATATAGAATCATAGAATCATTATGG